CGCCGCGAAGAGCGCGGGCGGGAGTGCGGGTAGACGGGGGTCCGGGTTGGGACGTGGAATTGGCGAAGGAGCGAGCTTAGCGTCTCTTGCGTGGTAGCCGAAGTTCTTATTCATCCACTCTTCGTGTGCTCCCCTCCCCCATCTTCTCTTTCCATTTGTTTTTCATGTTTTACAGTGGAGGCATGATTTCCCGTTGCCGCAGAGAAAATAGGGTGCAAGCCCAGAAACTTTCCCCATCACCACTTGTTGAAAATCTGATTTGAAAGCTGTTCGAGTGTGAACAACAGAAAGTGCGGAGATTTGATGCGTGCCTCCTTTTGCGCTGGAGACCCTTCACTACTAATTATCAAGGAAAAAAAAAAAAACGAACAAAAAACAATCTGGAAGCTAATCTGGTAAACATTTAAACTTAAGGTAAGTATTATTTTTGACCTAGTACGTTATACACTAGTACTGTCTGCCTTTGTTTGCTAATTCTTACTCTTTTTAACTTCCTTGTTTAAAGTTTCATTTATTGAAAGCACTTTTGTTTTTTGGGTATGTCACCTGGCACATCCTCTGGAGTAAGAGACTTTTTGAAAGTTACACAAAGTTCAAAAGTGTTGGCTTTGCCATTAGCACAAGTGTTGAACGTTTTGGGGGGTTTTTTCCATAATTTTATTGAGAGACAAATAGCAATGAGATAGTTTCAAACCAAATTGGTAGGACAGTTTCAATAATTAACACATTGCATACTCTCTTCCTAGTGGTTATTTGCTGTACAAGATGTGGGCATAAAATCCTATTTACAAACACTGCTAGAACAAATCCCTCTATTTGTTAAGAGAATGTAACTATATATCCTAACCATTTTGAATACACAGTTACAAAATTTATATATCCCCTTTTTTGTTTAGTTGCATCTTTTGAATATTATAGGTGTGTTAACTCAGCAAAATATTCTAAAAGGGTCCAGTAGCCCATAATAGTATTGGGTCTCCCGCTTCACTGGCAATGTCAGAAATTGTTGACCTGAGTCCCCTACAGCTCAACATAACAGCATGGCTTTACTTCTTATACTTCGTTTTTATACTTTTCTGCTGGATGGTTTTATACCACAAAGAATTATGTATAAACCCAGATAGTTAAAAGTAAAGGATTTTTCATGGAGAAAGTAAAGTGTAAGCACTACTGAGCACAAGTGATTTTGTCTATACCTAGAGCTAATAATCATAATGGGGACCGATTAGTTAGAGAAGTGTAAAATACCATTATTTAAAGACATATGTAATGATAATTCACTAAGTGACAGCCAGGAATTTCTGTCTTCTCTGGCACTACATACCTGTAGATGAACATATCAGACAAAGTGAGAGCTGTACACTTAAAAAAAAAAAAAGAGAATTTAGGCCAAATAAAACCTGGACTTTGCGGATGGAATGTCTGTGAAATGGTAAGCTCTCTGACTTGGATCCACAGATACCCTACGTTGAGTTTCAAGTTTTTTTTGACAGAAGTTTCATATTACCCATTTGATTCTTTACTATTGATCAAAACAGTGAAAAACTCCCATTTTTTCTGGTAAAGCATAATTCTTCAAAGTACTCTTGGGAATCCTTTAAAATATTTGTAAAGAACAGAATTCCATTTGAATCCTGTCACATTCTTTTTAACATCTTAAGATCTTAATCATTGTAAGAATTTAGTTTAGGAAGACATTAAGGTTTACTAGTTATTTGTCACCAATTAAGGTATGTTTAGTGTCTTAAGATTTTCAATGAGCATAATGCAAATGATTTTTAAAAAGTTATTGCATTGATTGTATGTTATTAGGATAAGTTAAGAACTTCTTAGCTGCTATAAATTAAATATTTGGATAAGTAATGAAGATTCTGTAATTTGTTTTTGTGGCGCTAGGGATAGTACTCAGGGCATCTATGTGTTCAAGTGCTGAGTGTTCAACAACTGAGTTATATGTCCAGCCCTTCATTTACTTTTTCCATCAGCAAATTTTAATTGATCATCTGGTATATACTGGGCATTACTTTAAATTCTTGATTTTTTTTTAACTTAATAAGTGAAGTAGATACTACTAAATACAATTATTCATCTGTAATGGAAAAAAGAAACCATGTATTGTAGAACTTTTTGTGTATCTTGATTATGATGAAGTGGACAATTTAGGTGTGCATGTATAAAAGAACGACTTGGTTGAATTATATGTATTAACTTTAAATTTTAGTGTCCCTGTTGCCTTTGATTGCATTATGTTCTTTCTTGGTTTTTACTTGTCTTTCTTAAAATTGGGAAATTATATCCATGTTCACTGAGTTAAAATGCCGGTTTAGGGGGCCACATGTTGGAACAGACTAGATAGTTGATCTAATGTCAGCTTCTCTAGAACTGAAGTTCTTTTACTTGCCTCCCCTCCCCCCCCCCAGCACTTTTAAAATGTGAATCCATAGCTAAATTGGATGTTATATAATTAATACTCTTGAATGGTG